AGAATATTAGAGCATCACTTAATCTAGAATTTTTCAAAGAGCAATCATGCATAATGTGATTTTAGGTGTTACATAGATACCGAGAAGCCTGGGTCACTGGTCCCGGTAACAGTCTCCCACCCTCTAGAGTATGTCTATATCTGTACCTATACACGCACCCCTATATGTATATATCTATTCATTTTAATGGCTAGGTATGTATTTTAATGTGTTTTAGAAAAATATATAACTAGCCCGTGAAACCAGAGATATTATGGATACTATTGCTAAGAGTGAGAGAGAAAAAAATACGAGTGTCTATAAAATTGGGGCAACATAATCTGCTGGTTTCCTCTAATATTTACTCTCCCTTTCTCCCACTGGGGTGGAACCCTTGATCAGTACCTGGCACAGTGCCCTTTAAATAAGGGTTCCATTTCCCAGCCTCCCTTGCAGTTAGGTGTGGCTAAGTGTAACTGCAAGCCATTAGACTGTTAGAGGAGGTGGTGTGTGGGCAAAATGTATTGAGTATTCTTAAAGGAAGGGGACATGATTTCCTTCTCTTCTTTTGTTGTTCCAGCTGCCAGGATGCAGATCTGATGGCTGGAACTTGTGCAGTCATCTTGGCCCATGAGATGGAAGCATGTATGGATGGAAGAGCAACAAAACTGAAGGAATCTGGATCCCAGATGACCAATGGGACTACCAGCTTAAGATAATTTTCCCATACTTTTATTTGTGAGAGAAATAAACTCCTATGTTCTATAAACTACTATTACTTGGGATTTTCTGTTACTCAGGATCTATTCCTTCTAACATGGTCAGTTTAAAGACAAATGTAAGTAAATCAAAGTAGAGGTGGGTAGGCAAAAATGGAGAAAGTGGTACAAGAGTGGCTGAAGTTTGAAAAATACAGATCCAGTCAGCCCCCCTGTGTTCCAAGTGAGAAAAGTCAGGAAACAGTGTGTCCAGGAGGGTGATATGAAAGAATAACCCAGGTAAGATTGAAGTTTTGCTGCATGAAGGAGAAGGAAGAAAAGACGAGTGTTCCTGGGAGAGGTAATAACACTTAAACAGAGATGAAGTGATAGTAGCGAATTACTTGTTTGTTTATTTGACAAACATTTATATAAACCTCCCCATATGCCAGACACTATTCTTTTTTAAAAAGATTTTATTTATGTATATTTATCTATTTATTTATGAGAGAGCAAGAGCAAGTGAGTGCACATGCAGGGGGAGCAGCAGGCAGAGGGAGAAGCAGGCTCCCCGCCAAGCAGGGAGCCCAATGCAGGACCGGATCCCAAGACCCTGGGATCATAACCTGAGCCGAAGGAAGATGTTCAACCAAGTAAACCACCCAGGCATCCCACCAGACACTATCCTAAGTGCTTTACAAATATTAGCCCACTTAATCACCTTAACAACCTTATCATACAGGTGCTATTCTCCTCATTTTAAGCTGAGGCAACTGACACAGAGAAGTTAATTACTTGCTCACAGTCAATATACCACAGACCTCAGACTCAAATCCAAACCTCAGGGGTGCCTGGGTGGCTCAGTTGGTTAAGTGTCCAACTCTTGGTTTTGGCTCAGGTCATGATCTCAGGGTCATGATCTTAAGGTCTTAAGATTAAGTTCTGTGTCAGGCTCAAGGCTCAGCACAGAATCTGCTTGAGATTCTCTTCTCTCTCCCTGTCTACCCTTCTTGCCCCTCCACTCCCACTCTGGAATGAGCGTGCACTCTCCTCTCATACATACATACATACATACATACATAAATTCATTCATTCATTCATTTATTCATTCTTTAAAAAAAAAAAAATCCAAACCTCAACTCGGTGCCCATAACCACTATGCTAGGTCCCATCATAATTTTCAAAGCACATGTAAAACTTCTAAGTTGTTGACATTATTCCCATTTTTTTGCATTTGGAAAATTTGAGTGCCAAAGAGTAAAGAGATTGATCTCTGGCCACACTGAAGGTTAGTAGAAGTGCAAGCAGAACCAAGGGCTCTGACTTCCAGGTTGTTTCAGGGACGTCAGACCTAAAGTTCCAGTGCTGATTGGCCACATGCCTAGTGTCCCCTACCCCATTCACTTTCATCTGTCTCTGGGCATTCTGCTGAGTGCTGGTGGTATATATATATATATATATATATATATATATATATAGTCCCAACCTGCCCAGCTCATCTGGTTTTCCTGGCGCTCTGATGCTCTTATGGAGTGCCTCTGATATCCCAATAACAGGGCATGGTTCGGGGATTAGAGAAAATGAATTGGTGGCCATGCATTCTTCAGGCCCTGGAGGGAGTGTCCACTCCCCCACCCCCATGCACACACATCTTCAGCCAGCTCAGCCTCCATTTCCTTCCTCTCCACACAGTCTGTCAGAAGCTCCCAGCTTTGGAGAATGAAAAACCTGGATGCTGTGATTTCTCCCTAACCTGGAGAGAGAAAGAAGGGGAATCAAGACTTACGTCCCCAGGCTTTGCAAAAGCAAGCACCTCTCCCTGGCAGCTCCATGAGGACAGGGCCCTTGTCTCCTCTTATCCCCGTGCCTTCTTCCCAGGCCAGCCCAGGGTCAGTGCTCTGGAGACATGGGGTTCCCTGGATTTAAACCACCCCCTGGGAGATGGTGGGTGCAGGAAGAAAGGAGGAGGCTCGCTGGATCATCTCCTGTGTGCCCCCTGTCCCCGTGTTGTACTTCACAGGGCTTGTCTCCCCTGTATCAATGACAGCTTCGTCACTTGGAGCTCATCCACTAGGGGAGGAACAGGAGCTCGGATCAGGCAGGCACCTCACCTCAGAGTCACACCCAAGGTCAGCTGGGTCCAGGATATTCTTCCCACTGCCCCATTCTGCTTCACTAGAGTCTCCACCACCTCACTGGGGGCAGGGGCTATGCTCATCATGACCTAGGATGTAGGACTGTGTACTGGATACTGGCCGTGGGACAGGTGTGTGTAGGACACCTGCATACCATGGGGCTAGTGCGCCGTGTAAAGGACACTTGCATACAGCACAGGTGGGCTCAGAAAGAGGTGCCTGGGACTCCTGTGTATGGGGCACATGAGGAGAAGGAGGTGTTGTAGGTTCAGATCCCCCCCAGAAGTAGACATGAGACAAGAATGTGAGGGCAAGTGGCTTTTCTGGAAGGTGGACCCGGAAAGTATAGTAGAGAAGTGGGAAAATGAGACTGAGAAGGGAAGGCCTCCCATACATTGCCGGTGCATCAATGGGCATGTGACTGCTATGGGCACCTGGGCCCCATCCTGAAGGATTCCTGAGAGCTGAGGGAAGGGAGGTATTCACCCACTGACCCCTGTTTGTCATTGGTGAGGGATGCTCCTGTGCCCCCAGCCTGTCCTCTGCATGGGTTGAGCATGTTTCCTAAGTAGAGAGTCGGATGTGCTTTGCAGGAGGAGGCCTGGACATATATGGCGAAGGTGGGTGTTGAGGGGCTATGGATGGGGGAGGGACATTGGCTCAGGACCTACAGGTACAGAGATACAGGGCAGGGAAGCAGATAAGTGATTGGATTACTGGCCTTGTAGGTCTGGGCTGAAGTGGGGGCTGCTAGAAGGAGATAAGCAGCCACAGAAGGAGAGGTGGTGTTGGGCCCCCCATGCTGGCTGGACTCCTTCCTCAACCCCCACCCCCCAACCCCTGTTGGTGTGTTAGCATGTGCTTTCATGGTGGGATGGGAGACTGGGAGGGCTCAAGGCTCTCAGAACGCAGACACATCTCTCTGCTAACCTTCCATCTTGCTCATATTTTGAGAAGTGGGGGTGAGGGCAAAAGGTGCCCAAGGTACAAGGAGAGATAGCCCCAAAGGTGGAGTAGGACCCTAGACTAGGAGTCAGACATGGAGGCAAAATGAGATAACATCTCTAACCCCACTTGCCCCATCCATGTGCCTCAGGGCAGGTCACCTACCATTCTTGCCTCTTTGGTGAGCATCACAGACATCCTGTCTCTGCTATGGACTTTACAGAACTGCTGTGTGGAACAGATCAGGTCATGAACAAGAAAACATGTGAAAGAAAATAAAATATATGGGGAAGGGGGTGGATTATGGAAAGGGCCTGAGCGGGGGAAATCAAGGAGCCTGGCTTCTGCTGCTGGCTCTGCTGCTATTTTTTTTAGGAGCTGGAACCCTGTAGTAAAGACCCAAAACAATAGTGTTTTCAAAAAAACAGAACTTATTTCTCCTTCATGTTAATATATACTTGGCGTGTGGCTTCACCAATCTCAGGAGACCCAGGTTCCTTCCATCTTGTTGCTCTGCCTTCTTACCACTTATGGTCCAAGATGGCTGCCCCACCTCCAGCCCTTCAGTCTACATTCCAATCAACAGAAGGAGGACAAGGGGAGAGGACAGGAACCCTCCTCCTTCCTTTTAAAGGCACAACCCAGAAATTGCACACCTCACTTCCATTTGTATCCCATTGGCCAGGACTTAATTGCATGGCCACACCTACTTGCGAGGGAGCCTGCAAATGTAGTCTTTTGCCATGTGTGAAAGGGAGAAGGGATATTGAAGGACACCTGCAATTTTTACCATAGTTCCTGACTTGTGGGGGCAATTTACATGTCCAGTGGAGCCATAGTTTCCTTGTTTGCAAATTCATTCATAATATCATACAATATAATATTGTATTGTGTATTATATTATATGTATCATATAATATATTTTGGCATATATATTATATAATACGATCTATAATGTATATTATATATTATATATAATGTGTATTATATATCAAATATCATTATATATTATATAATATATAATCCATTACATAATATATATCAATTATATATTATATTGCATATATGTGCCATGCTTGTAGTGTGAAGAATGATTTTTGAACCACTTGATTGCTAAGGGATCCTCTCACTAGCTGGACCACTGGCCCCAGAGGTCTGGTGTGAGGTCTGTCTTGCTCACCACTAGGTACTTGCAACATCCAGGGCAGAGTCTAGGACACGGAAGCCATATGATTAGCGGCCCATGGATGATGAATGGGTGACCATTCTGGCTTTTGTATTCGGTGAGGACATTTTTCCTCACTCAAGGGTTTAAGTGTTTCCCTTTACAGGCCTCCTGGCTCCAGCACCCTTTGTCCCTGTGTGTCAACCCTCGCTGAGCCTGTGAAGTAAACTGTGCTGTGAGCCAGGATCTTGAGAGTGGGATTAAAAATAAATGAAAGTGCATCAAAACAAGTTAGCCACAAGAAATGTCTTTCCAGGGCAATTGGGCATCAGTGCTAGAGGCCAAGGACAGAGTGTCGGACTCCAACTGCCAAGAGGTCTTATCAACACCACTACTGTGTTGGGCAGAGAACCCACTGGGCCCGGCTCGAGACCTTCCATGACCCTCCACTCCTGGGAGACATGGAGCAAGACCGTCCCAGTCAGGGACAGGTCAGGGAGAACAGGTTCGAATTCCAGCCCTGCTGCTCACCTGCTGGGTGGATCCTAGGAAAATCCTCAATGTTTTGAGCCTCAGTCCCCTCCTCTGTTAAAGAGGTTGATAGTAGGATCTACCTATTATCAACTATCAAACATGGAAAACAAGGGTACCTACCTCATGGGCAGAAGCTCACAGCACCCTTAGCAACTCCGTAATTTTTTCACAGTGTGCCAAGCTCAAAGAAATACCAGAGGCTTGTTTATTAAGCAGCTAGGTTCAAACAATTAATAGTAGTTCGACCAGTAACTAGCAGATGTCATTGTATCTCCCTCAGAACTGTAAAATATCTTGCGGTGTCTCTGAGTTTTCTGCAGTGTCTCAGGGTGCTGGGGCACATGGTTTGGGAACTGCAGCCATATGGTTTTGAGGACAAAACAGTTATGCATGTCAGGGGCTTAGCCTGATGCCTGGTCTAGAGTAGATCAAAAAATGCTGGTGGTCCTAAATCATCCTTCAACTGTCATTCTGAAATGACCGTCTCTCTTGTTCATTCTCTGTCTCCCAGCAATGCTGTAGCAATTTTTTTCTGCCTCGGGCTCCTGCCATCTCCTTGTTTCTGCTTGCCACCTTCCCCCTGGGCCCCTCCATGCCCAGGGCCCCTCCTCACCTACCTTCCTTCTTGGTCAAGAATTGGGGCTCCCACTTCTCCACTCTTCCCTGACTCCACATACTTGGCAGGATCTCTTTGCAGGTGGAGTGTGGGTCCCTGCCCCTTCACTTTGGACTGCACCACGTGATTCTCGTTGTCCGGTGTTACACACCAAAGCGACAGTGTGGCATCTTGAGTCTAGGCCTTAAGTGTTGCATGATTCCCCCTGCTCTCTTATCCTTTGTCACTGCCAAGAGAAAAGCATGCTCAGTGATTCCAGGGGGAGCAGAGGCCCATGGAGCAGGCTCAGAGCTGCTGATCTGCAGACCATCTCAGTCAAGAGCGAAAAGAAATAATTGCTGTTTGAATGTATGGAGTTTCGGAGAGCTTTGTCACACAGTGTTCTGTGACAGTCTGACCTCCCCATCTGTTGGCAAATTCCCCTTCTCTGAGAGGAGATCTGATTGAGTCATTTGGTCACCACCCAGGACACAGGTTCTTTCACACTGTTTCATACCCACAAACTGTCCTGTCAGATGGTTGCCTCAGGCTGGGACACCCACCTCTGACCCAGACAATTGTCCTATAATTACAGGGTCATGTGACACACAGCCTGGCGACTTGACTGCAAGAAATGGTTTCTGGCCTCTCTGGTTAGGAGGCATATGAAGGTGGCAGATGAGAGTTTCTCGGACCCTCTCTGGTTCTAAAGAGTGACCTCGGAACCAGGAGAAATTGTACACAAAATTTTCTCTGCATGTGGCAGAATCCGTCTCAGGCTGTAAACCCCCAGGGGCCGAAGAAATGTGACATTTCTTACAACTCAGTTTGGTAACTATTTTGAGTCTCATCCTACCTAAGACGGAAAGGATGAGGCCCAAGTTCACATAGAAAGATTGGTAGAGTTGGGGTTAGATCCCAGGTGTCCTGGCTTCCTGTAGGGACCCCTTTTCCTGCTTGGTGGATCACAGGCTCGCCAAGAGCCCCAGCTCCTGCCTCCAAGCTGGTGGCTGTGCCTCCTCACTCCACTGAGTGCTTGCTGGGGAGAATTCTGTACAGCACTTTCCTCCCACCGAGTACCAGTCTGCCTCCCTAGGTCCTGTACCCACTACCCTAGCTCTGGGACTACTCTAAAGGTACGCTCTTTTTTTCTTTAATTTATAAACATTTGCTTTCATTTTTACTTCTGTGAATTCTGTTTAGTTCTTTTTTGAATCTGCCTTTTTTAGTAGTCTTTTCTCTTCTGTTTTTTAATTCCTTCTTTTATGAACTAAATTCTTTCCAAAACACTTTGTTGTTATCTTCATCTGAAGTTGTTAGGAAAAGAGGGACCTAACCCTGCTGTTGATGGTGTCTGCTGACTCTCACTTATGGTACATGATTCCCTTGTAATTCTGAATTCTGAATGCCTCTGTAGACGAGCTTTGTCTCTGGACCACTTGTGCAGCCTAGGTTGAGGGTAGGTCCCTCCAAAATGGGTTGAGTTGGTTTTGCTGGTCCCCTCAGCTCTCTGTCTGGGATTACTGTGTTAATTCTTAGTTTGGGGTTCCTAGCTCATGTAGATAGAATAAATTATTTTAAACCCTATGTGGGAATAGATCCTATTTATTTCCATCATAATATTAATTTGATTATTGTTTGTTTCCATCCACTCCAATGTCCTCCAGGAAAGCGGGACCTGTGTCTGTCCGATTTGGGGCCATATCCGTGCTTGGAGCAGAACTTGGCACATAATACTCTATAAGGGTGGGGCGCCTAGATGGCTCAGTGGGTTAAAGACTCTGCCTTCGGTTCAGGTCATGATCCCAGGGTCCTGGGATCGAGCCCCACATCGGGCTCTCTGCTCAGCAGGGAGCCTGCTTCCTCCTCTCTCTCTCTCTCTGCCTGCCTCTCTGCCTACTTGTGATCTCTGTCTGTCAAATAAATAAATAAAATCTTAAAAAAAATACTCTATAAGGGTTTATTGAAAGAGACAACTAAAAAAGTACCCGCTTCATAGTATGTTGTGAAGAATAAATGGTGTGTCCATCAGCCTGTGTTTGCCCAATTAAAAATGAGGTTTTATGGTCTCATGAAACAGGCAGATGCTCTTGATTCTGTGACTCGGTTGTTCTAATATCTCTGCAGGTTTTTTTGGCCTTTGTCTTAGGGTTGCAAGATGATTACTGTAGCTCCAGGCATCATGTCCACATTCCAGGCTAAGGGAAGGAGAAGGAAGTTAGAGTTTAGGAAGAGCTTCAATCACATTTTTCCTTTTCTCAGGAAGGTGGGTTTCCCTAGAAGTCTAACAGCAAATTTCTGCTTTGATCTCCTTGTGTAGAAATGGGTCGCAAGGACACCCCAGAAACTAGGGGACCTGGAAAGTGACTCTATGGCGAGGTGAGGAAGGAGTGAGGGGATTAGGGACACAGATGCAGTATCTGCCCCAAATGGGGTCCTGTATATGTAAAGCAGTGGGAGAAAACTAAGCCTTCAGAAAGGGACACCTATTCTTATAATTGTTAATTCACAATTAATATTTATATTATTACTATTAATTTTATTATTAATATACTAATTTTATTATTAATATTATCACTGAAAGCTTTACAATCACTATGATCCTGTTGGCATCAGACTTTGGACTCTGGAGCCACTGGGCACTGAGGTGCCCATACCCCAATGGTCTCCCTCCCTCCCTCCTTATTCTGTTCAAAGCACTGAAGCCCTTTAAAAAAAAAAAAAACACCAAAAAAAAAAAAAAAACCCACATTTTTCCACCGTAAGCCACATCCTGCTCTCATTAACTCCATCCTCAGTGATTTAGCCAGACCCTGCTCCCTCCCGGAAGCAGGTAGGAGACTGTATAAATCAAAGGTCCCTCGGGCCCATCAGCAGGTCAACGGTCAACAGTTCCTCCAAGGACACTGAGATGAAAACAGAAGAGCCAACCGCAAGTCTTGGGCAGACCTTGGAGTGGCTGAGAAAGGAGCTGGTAAGGCTTTGCATTTCTTTTTACCTGATCACTCCACTCTATATCTTCCCAGGTTCCTTGGGACCCTCCCTTTTCGGACCCCCCGACTGGGGCAGAGGCTGCAGCAAGGGTGTAGGTCCTGCGGCCCCCACCCTGCCACTCCGGGGATACCAATCATAAGGCACACAATGGCTGTCTCCGGGGCTGGGATAAGTAGGTTGTGGCCTACATAGGAGGTGGCTCTGGGTGCAGTGGCGGCCAGACTGGCCTTGGAATCACACCACGTCCTGGGAGTGCACCCAGCTCTGCTACTGTGTGGCCTCTGCCAGTGGCCTTACCCCTGTGAGCCTCAGTTTCCTTACCATACAATGGGGATGACAACAGGACCAACACTGCAGGCATTATTTTACTAGTATGGGAAGGAGGCAAGTGTAATTCACTTCGTGTTAGCTTGGCTATCACCACCATTGCCCAGGACGACATGGAGCACACCCACTGTCCTAGCCCAGACCCTCTAGAAAGCAGAAGCCCACACAAGGATTGGGGTACTAGTGATTTATTTGGAGAGACAGCCCAGACAGCCCAGTGAGAGGGGAGGAAACAGGGAGTGGCAGCAAAGGGTAGTGCCGTGTGAGGCCACGTACCATGCCACTAAGCAGGCCACCACTTTGCAAGGGGCCTCAAGAGGCCCGGCGCTCTTTCAGCAGCTGGTTCTCCTGGCCAGAGGCTTCTCTGTAGGGATGGAAGGGGAGCTGCACCTGGGGAGAGGGAAGAAGAGGAACTCTGCCTGCCCAGATCACTCCTGTCTCCTGTTCCCTATGGTAGAGACCCACCCCATAGGCCTCAACTTTCCTGAATTTCTGGGTTACTTGGTCCCTTGGGGACTGCTGAAGAAGCCCAGCTTTATGCCCCTCTTTGTGCCATTTTCTCCAAGTCCAAAAATAGAGGGATGCCCCCCAAAGTGCATGGATAGCAGTCAAAAGAGAGAAGTGGTTCAGGGAACCTCAAAAAACACCCAGGATTTGGATCCCAATAGTCCAGCCTCTCAGGGGAGAGACCCATGGGATTATCCAAAGACAACCTTTCTCGGTTGCCAGGTGACCCAGCTGGGACCCAGTCCTATCCTCACCCTAGTGGGTAGGGCTGACCCAGTAGGGCTTCTCATGGGACCAGGGGACTCCTGCAGCAGGAGGGACAGCTTCTCACAGTCCACAGGGATCCAGAGGCTGGACAGGGGTCTCCCTCATGCTCCCCTAAACAATGGGCTCCCACGCTGAGTCTGCTTGGTGCCTGAACCCAAAGGGCCAATATCCACCTGATAAGGTCTCCCTCTCTCTCACCATGTGAAGAGGGAAAACAAGGCAGGGCTGGGGGAAGCCCACATAGGGCATAGACTCTCAGGCTCAAGCACCTCCCTCCACATGATGCCAAGAGATGGGAGTCTTGAGTTTCCACTTACGGATGCCAGCTTGTACACTGCCCAGGCGAGCCCGTTTTGTCCTCGATCCCATGGGATTTACCTGACTCCATAAGGGCACCTAAGCCCAGCCAAGAAGCTCCATTTGACTGACAGGGAAGGATCAATATTGGGCAGTGACTTCATGCAGGAGAAGGGACAAATCGGTAACACTGAACTACCATGGACCAAAGTCCGATGCTCTCCCCTCCCTTATAAGATGGGGATCACGGAAGCCCCAAAGACCTGGTGGGATCTAAAAGAGGGGAGAGAACTGCCACCATCCTGTGACAAGACAAACCAGTCTGATGCACTCAGTGGCACTCATTCAGAGGCAGGAAAGAACTTTCAGTACAGAATTTGAGCAAACTGAGCCCAGAGCTCTCTCGCCCCGTGAGATGGGACATCGCCCTCCTGGGGAAGCCAGTTTGCTCAGGGTTCATGGCCCTCAATTCCAAGGGCATGGAGTCTCCCACCTCCCTTACCACTGCTTCCCCGCTGGGTGCATTCTTGCGAGCCTGGGCCCAGAGCTGGCACTAAAGGTTGAAAGATAAAAATGTGTGGGAGGAAAACCCTAAAAGTGAGAAAACACAGACTTAATGTTTTCCCAAGAATTTGGGAAGGGGTGGCCCTGCTACCACACTCATTGCAGCCTGGGGAGCCCCCAGCATTCTCGGGAGGTGGTTCTCCCTCCTTCCATCTACTCTGTTGGACGGCTGACTTCTGCTGGCATGTAGGAAATGGCCTTTATCTTCACACCTGTGAAGTAATTAGTTTGTCATGAAAACAAAACGCTATTCTAGTGGGAAAATAACGTTGATAACTACCTCTGGAAAGACAGACAGAAGGGACACTGTTCCCAGAGGCGCCCCTCGGAAGCAGACTGAGTTGCTGGAGAGGGTGGGATGAGGTGGGGGAAACTTCCCCACAGGCCCTCTTGTAGCTTCTCAATTTTGGATCACATGTGAGAATTACTTAGTTGGAAACGGAAAGTTTTAACGTCATATTATGTGACCAGTGTGGAACGAAGGACACATTTTTAGTGTTTACTTAATGCACTTAAAAAGAACAATCGTAAACTCTTTATGATAGAAAACTGCTGGATTCTCCTATCTGCTTCTGCATGCCATCAGATACCACATTACACATCATGTGGTTTCTGGAAAATTCCACTGTAGTCTCGTAAAAGGATAAAAGGGCAGATAATATCTTAGTATAGTAATGAAAGTCGTTTTGACCTCCCTGAACCCCTGAATGTTTCTGGGATCCAGGGGTTCCCTGGGCCTTATGTTGAGGATCACATAACATATTAACATATGTTAATAATTTGCAAAGGGTTCCTGCCTGCCGGTAGGATGCACTACACTCTATTTTAATATGAAGTCACTTTCACCTTATTCCTATAAAGCGATTTGTTTGTTGCAGTGAGAATTAAAGCATACAGTGAGGGTGTAAATAAGAATAACATTTGATGATGATGATGAAAATGATCACAGGGCTTGGTAGTTGAACATCTCATATTTTAGAGATTTATTTATTTGAGAGAGAGTGTGTGAGTATGGGGGCAGAGGGAGAGGGAGAGAGAGAGAGAATCTCAAGCAGACTGCATGCTGAGCACAGAGCAGGATACAGGGCTCAATCCCATGACCCTGAGATCATGACCTGAGCCCAAATCAAGAGTCCAAGGCCCAACCTACTGAGCCACCCAGGCACCTGGAGCATCTCATATTTTAAAACATAGACTGGCTCATTCAGTCCTCCTAAGAGCCTTGAAAGGTAAGAAGTTTGCTTTCCACTTTGCAGATAAAGAAACTGAGGCTTGGGTGGACATGACTTCTGTGAGGCTGTGGGTCTGTCTCCAATGAGACGTGATGGGAATAAGCTTTCTGGGAAACGCCCAGCCCCCTCACACTGATTCTCTCTCCTAGGCAGAGATGCAAGTTCAAGACCAGAGACTCCTGCTCACACTGAGGCATCTTCACAGTGTCCTGGAGGAGCTGCGCACTGAGAGTGCCCACTGGGAGGACTCCAGGTCCAGTGGAGGGACGTCCCCCGTCAGAGCTCGAGCAGGCTCTGAAACCAGGGGCCGTCCTCCCATCTCTACCAAGAGGCTCGCCCAGCTCCTCCAAGGGGCGGACAGCAGACGAAGCTCCCTCCCTTAACTGGCTGGGCCTGACCTCCCCGCTTGAACCTTCCCACCACTTGTCCAATCTTTGTGATGTTGCTGGGGGGAGAGCACTGCAGTGGGAGTCAGGGAACCAGGGCTCTGGGTTCTTCTCTGCCATTATCCACGGTGTATCCCTAAACCTGTCACTCAACTCTTCTGTTGCTCCTCCGGGTTTTTGGTGAGTCACAAATAAGGTATCAGATGTTGACTTGCTTCTCAAACACTGGCCTCTGGCCAGCACCAGGACAGCGATCCCCTCAAGGTGATCATTAGAACAAAGAAAGAACTCAGTGTGTGCCCAGGATGTTTCCTGTTACTATGGTGAAAAACAGACCCCGCCCCATCATAGTGACTCCGCAATTGTTTTCTGTCTTCCCAGGAGGCCTTTCCTCTGTCTGAAAGCCACAGACCCCATTACCAATCTGGCCCTACCGATGGGCATGTGACCAGGCCTGGCCAATAATAACTCGCGATCATCCTAACAACATGATTGGCCCAACCGGGGACCATGTGACTCAACAGAGCTAATCACAGCCCTTCTCTGGGATCCTTCTCTGTGATCCCTCTCTGGATGTTCTTGCCACTGGAGTTGCAAGGGCCACATGCACCTGCTGGGTGAAGAAGACCTGAGCTCAGTAGCAAGGAAAGAGAGGTGGAGGGAGGGCCATGGAGAGCTAAGCAGAGAGGAAGGTGCTGGTTTCAGGCCCTAGTTCTGTTACTTCTGCATTCTTTCCAGTGACAAAAACCAGTAAGTCCCACGACTGCCGTCCTCCGCCACACACACATTAGGTTTTGCTTAAGCCAATTTGAGGAGGGTTGCCCTTCTGTGTAACCGAAAGGATCGGGAGGAACACAGTCCGGATGTTCAAAGATGCAAAGAGAAACGCTGAAGAAAAGGGCATTTTGCTCACTCAGGGTTGACAGCAACAGCTCTGCGACCACAGACCCAGTCTGTTCTCAGTTGTGTGGGTTGCTGGTCTCATCACTTTGACAGACTCTATCTGCCTAAGAGAGACTTTAAGTAAGACAGCCGAAAATTTAAAAAGCCTCATGTTAAGATGCTCCAGTTATTGGTAGGACTTTTGTTTTTGGAAAATCCACTTGCATGTTGTTAGAATATCATTTTTATGGCTTTGAAAATGTAAACCCATTGTATACAGAGGCAAAGAGGGGGGAGGAGTGTTATATGTACAATGTTTATAGTCAGATTAACCTGGGATTTTAATACAATATTTGATAATGTAAAAAATATTTGTCCATCAATAGCTGAGTGGGTAGACAGAATGTGGTATATACATGAAATGGAATGTCGGTCCTTGAAAAGGAAGGAAATTCTGGCATGTGCTACAACATGGGTGACCCTTGAAGACATGATGCTAAGTGCCAGGAGCCAGTCACAGAAGGACATTGTACGATTCCATTTATATGAGGCACCTGGAGTAGTCAAATCCATAGAAACAGAGAGTAGAAGGGTGATGGCCAGGAGCTCAGGGAGGGGACAATGGGGAGTTAGTGTCTAAAGGTAACATTGACCTTATGCTACGTTTTATCACAGCTAAAAATAAATACTTTAAAAAAAATACCTGTTCTGTGATGCTGGGACTGGGACCCCAAAAACCACATTTCTGTGTTAACCAGCTGCTCTGGGTTAGACTTTGTGTCTTTGCCAACAAGTGGGTGAGGCAGGAGGGACACTGCTAGAGCAGAGAGAAAGAACTTGCTCCTTCATCTCAGTTCTTGGCAACTGCCGTGGGCCCCAGGTCCTGGGAGCACCAGCCAGGAGGGCTTCTTCTCACAGCAGCTCTTCCCTTCTCAAGGTTCTAGGTCCCAGCCATGAAGGGCCCTTCTCCCAAAGCCAGAGACACCAGCTCCAGATGGCCTGAGCCTCCATCCTTAAAGCCTGGTTCCTGCCACACCTGGACCTTCTCGGGTGGGTGAGACACGAGCCCCAGCTGAGCAGAGTGCCCTTCTCGAATATCTGAAGTTTACTCCCCAGGGCTCCTCCACTGTTTCTAAATGTTAATAATTTCAGTCGCTTTTCTTTTTATCCTCAGCCCTGGCGCTACCTTCATTCTATCTTTGAGTTCTTTTTATAACCCTTCAGTACCTAGTTAACAACTTTATACCTAGTTAGCAATTTTTTTAAATTTAAATTTAAATTAAATTTAATTTAATTTATAGAGAGCAAGCGCACATATGAGCAAGAGCAGAGCTGTGTGTGGTAGGGGTGGGGGGAATGCAGACAATCTCAAGCAGACCCCTCTGAGTGTGGAGCCCGACACAGGGCTCAGTCTCATCACCCTGAGATCGTGACCTGAGCCAAAACCAAGAGTAGGACGCTTAACCGACTGAGCCACCCAGGCGCCCCAACAATTCTTTACGTTAAATTTTCTCCCTTAAATAACTGAGATGACTTCTGTCCCCTGCCTGTTTCTGACTGACACAGCTCTGGCTAGTCCTACCAGTGTTGCTGGGATCACTGATGTCTATGTCCCTTGGTGCACAGGAACATGAGTTTCTCTAGGGCGTGTAACGGAGGGTTGAACTGGAGGTAGGTGAACGCTCAAGTTTACAAGAAACCTGTTGTCCAGAGTGGGACACTCCCACTCTCAAAAGCAGTGTCTCAGAGTCCCTGTTGCTCCACATTCTCACCAACACTTGATGTTATCAGTCTTTATTGTTGCCAAGAGAGTGGGTGTAAAATGGTATCACAGTGTGATCTTAACGTGCATATTTCTGATTATAAACGTGGTTGTTAACCTGAATTCTCATTCCAGCTCCACCATTTATTTACCTTATTTTTTTAAAGATTTTATTGATTTATTTTTGAGAGGGAGCAACAGAGAGTGAGCACAAGCAGGGAGAGTGGCAGGTAGAGGAAGAGGCTCCCCATTGAACAAGGAGTCCCATTAAGGACTTGATCCCAGAACCCCGAGATCATGACCTGAGCAAAAGGCAGACGCTTCACTGATTGAGCCACCAAGGCATCCCGACTTATTTTTTTCAATTAGTCCCTCAACCTCTCTGAGCCTCAGTTATCTCATTTGGAAAAAAAAAAAAAAAAAAGTTAATATCTGCCTCCTGAGATGATTGTACAGATTAAATGAAAAAATGCATAGAAATCACTTGACCCAGCACTTGGCATTGGAAAGGCTAATAAATGGCAACTTGTCATTACTGTCATGTGATTATGTACTGATTTGTGAAACTGTGACTATTACAGATAGACAAGCTTGTTAGCAACCATCATGGAGCGAGATATCTGCCCGGCCATGTAAAGCGAAGGACACTGGTCTGCCATGCCCAAGCCCAATGTCAACTACCAGCACCCACCACCCGTCCCAGCTTCCCACAGCTGGGCCCCCCAGACCAAAAACCCCTGCCAAGTGTCCTTCTTCCAACCTAGGAAGATAGACCTGGTACCCCTGAGCCTGTCTCCTCTGCTAGGGTATTTGTTCTTTTCCAAGAACCCACATCTGGAACCAAGGTTCAGCTCCTGATGCCCGGTCAGAGCAAATTCAGCCCAAGCTTAGTGGGGCATGGAGGCTTGGAGTGGAAGTGGCACCTTTAGCATGGGCTCCTAGAGGGCTGGGCTGGAAATCACATATGTTCAGAACAGAAGGTAAGCACCAGAGAGAGCATGGGGCCATGGTTTCAGAAAGGGAAATCCAGTGTTTTCTCTGCTAAAGCAGCAGAACAAGACTATACACCCAGGCCTCGCATCCAAGAGTGAGGAGAGGATGGGACAGAAGTGTGGAAAAAAAAGACGAGGTTGGAAGCTAAAAAATGGGGAGCAAGAAGAAGAACCATTCAGGATGCGATAGCCAGGGCAGGTTAGGACAGGCGGCTCAGGACTTACACTGTTACTGATGAGAAATGATCAGAGGCTCACTTTTGTGTGGTGCCAGCTTCCAGTCCTGGGCTTGGTGTGACACCGTGCAGGGCCCTGTGTTCTCGTGGGTCACAGGCTGTCCCCAAGCTTAAAACAATGACAATCACTTTACTATTGCAACAACCCATCCTTATTATAGTAGATCATATTGCCCATATTTCTGGGGATTGGCAGGGCTCAGCTGGTGGCCCTTGCCGCAGGTCCCCCAGGTGGGTACAGTCAGATGGTGGCTGGCCCTTATTCGTGTGCCTGGCAGCGGCTACTGGCTGTTGCCAGGGACCTCACGTGCGGCTGTCAGCTGGAACATCTACACGGGCTGCCTCCATGTGGCCTCACAGAGTGGTGGCTTGTGCCAGGAACGAGCATCCAAGCAGTCAGAGGGTAGCTCTATGGCCTTTAGGACATAGCTTCAGAAGTCACACCGTGTCACCGCTCTGCATTCCTTGCAGAAGTCAGACACTAAGACCAGCTCATATTCAAGAGGAAGAGAATTCAACTCCGCCTCTTGAGCGGAGGGCATAAAGAGTTGGCAGGCGTGATTTAAAACCAGCACACCAGAAGGGCCAGAGATCTTTCTAGGGGGGCACGGACTGCAAGGACCAGGCACTAACTCAGGCGGGGCTTGCAGTAAAGACAGGCAGCATGATAGGAGAGGGAGAATGTCCTCACCGTCCACGAGCAGAAACTCTTGGCAATGGAGGATATACCTGGGTCTACAAAAGTTCACTCTGTTGTCCCCAGCTTTCCAGTGCCACAACGTGGTACTGACAGGTGGGCTCAGCTCTGCTGCTATGACAGACCCTGGCATCTCAGTGTCCACTTCTTGCTCACACCACGCGTGCAGGTGGGTTGGGGAATGTGCTCTGGCTCAGGGACCCAGCCACCATCCAGGATGTCACGGGATGTCACAGCAGGTGAGATACACCTGGAGAGTCAGTCACTGGCTATTTGACGCATCAGCCAAGAAGGCATAGATGTCCCTTCTGCCCACAGCCCATTGGCTAGACTTGGTCATGTGGTCTGTCCCAGCAAAAGGCTGGGACTGGTAGGGAGTCGATGGGGATCGCCCCCTCACCCCTCCACCCCAGATGCACGTCCATTCT